TGTTAAAACAAACCTAAGGACAGTGAATGGGAAGTAAAACATGAAAACAGAGACAGGACCTGAGTAAAGGAGAAGACAAACCAGCTTCTATTTGTCTCCATTTGAAATGCTCAAAATATTTTTATGTTTACAAAATAAAATTAAAAGTGATCATGGCAAGTTCTAGGCATCTAATACTGGGTGCAAGAAACTTTTTAAAAGAATAATTATGAAACAGCAATCCCTGGAAACATTAAAGGTCTGCCTAAAGCAATAGATTGGACCAGATAATCTCTCTGGTGTATCTTTTAGTTCTAAATTCTAAGACCAACATCATCCTTCTCCATCTATTCCCATCTCTCCCTTTCCACCTCTCTTTCTTCTTTATATCTAAATCGTGTATCTTCCTGTTGACACTGTATCACTACTTCTAAACCAGTTTCGACTATGACACGCTGGTCAGCAGCAAGAAATTCAGCAGACTGGATTTGGCACTTTCAGGTGAACTTACACTTCAGCAGAAGCTGAGGTCAGACAGGCAAATGAGGTACATAATCGAACTTTATATACTATTCCCTATCAAATTTGGACCACACTCCTCAGCTTGGCATTCCTATATTCATGGGATCTCTACATTCTGACTCTATCCCAACTTTCACTGCTCTCTACTAAGAAACACTATAACCAACTGTTTCCTAAGAGCTATTAAAACCACCTCTCCAAAGCTTATTCTTCAAAATACAGCTCAATTCCATCTCCTCAATAGTTTCCTAATGATTCTCCCTTCCTTGTACTCTCACAGCACTTAGTCTTTGTGCTACTCACTTTAGAACCTCATCACAATTCCCATAAGCTCCTCTAAACTCTCACAGCACTTATTAATTGCACCCTTTATTTAACCCTTTTTAATAGGCCACATATACATTGGATATTTTTATAGCTGAGACATAGCAGGTATGCCCAATTAGTCAACTCTTCTTAGCACAGCACTCTATACTTCTCTATTACACAGCTTTTTACATAGCATCATAATCATTTGTTTATATGTATCCCCCTCATCCAATAAAGAATATAAGCCTCCCTAGGGGGCCCTGTGTTAAGTTTCTTAGTACTGCCAAAGGCTAACATACTGCTCACAAGAGTATATAGTAAATAAATCCTTTTCAAATTAGTGAATGAAAGACTAAATTAGCTGAAAACAAGAGAACATGATCTAGACCAGAGACTGAAAATTAGTCATCCATAGGCTGATCTAGCCAACAGACTTAACTTTGGCCTGCACAATATTTAAGAAAATTGGAATTAGTTAACAACATTTAGAAATTGGGAAATTGCACACAAAATCCAGATTTCTGACTTTTCTTAGGGGGAAAAAATTGTTAAGATCTGCCATATGCCCTAAAAGGCAAAAAGTGACTAGAGCACAGTTGCTTCCTTTACATTCGACATGCACTCTTCAGTTAGGCACCTTCTTTGCTTTACTTGTTTATGTCACCTCTCTGGCCCTTGCAGGTATGTAGGTTTACAATCAATGATATAGACCCATGAATTTCTGGCAGACTTTCTAAGCCACTTATTCAAATTTGGGGCATTTCTAATCCCTAGCCACCATGTTTCTCCAATGCTAAACAGGTTTATTAAAATCTCCTAGCCTTCTCTCATTCCAAATCTTGACAAAAGGAGTCTACTGAACAGTAGTGCCCAGTGGTAAAGCCAGAAAACACAGTTTAGATGGATCACTAGTACTTGATTAGAATGATGGTTTTTGGTTCATAGCTCAAATTTTATTATGTATTTCTTCCAGTGAAATATTCTATTAGAGTGGACTCTTATTCAAAGTATACTGTTAACAATCACTTCTCATACTAAGTCAGCCAGTTAAGAGAGAGTTTATCTTGGCAAATTAAATTCAATAAATATTTATGCAGTACTTGCAAAATTACAGGCTCTGTGGAATGGTTAAGACACGAGCTTTGAAATCTCCAAATCTACCAAGTCTGGTACCAAATCTGGGCTCCATTCTTTAGCTAAAAAACTCTTGAAAGTTACTTCTTTAAGCCTCCGTTTTCTTACTTTTAAAATCTGGACAATAACAGTACTTATTTCACAAGACTGTAGCATGGCTTAAGGAGACAATGATATAAGGCACTTTAGTATATAGTACCTAGCACATAGAAAATAATAAAAGCAGCTATCATTTGAGTATTTGAGTACAGAAACAAAAACTACAAACTTCCTAGCTACCAAAAGGATCAGAGACAAATAAAAGTATTACTTTATAGTAATGCAAAAAAAACAAAAAACAAAAACTAACAAAACAAGATCTCTGAGCAAAAGTCTTTAAGTTCTATAACAGTGTTATTAATAAAGCATATGGAAACACAAAAGAGAGTAATCCTATAGGGGGTAGAGAGGTAACATATGAGCTGAAATAATAAACAGGATAATGCCAACAGGAAAAAGGGCAAAACAGACAAAGTCCAAAGACAAGTAAGAGAAAAACAAAAGCAATAAAGAAATTGAAGTGTTTCTTCCCAGGGACAGTTAGTAGGCTGGAATAGGCAGAAGAAGAAAAAGTACATGAGAGGGAACTAGCAAAAACAAAAGCTAGGAAAGAAGGCTGGGATCAGGATTCAGGCTTTCAAATCGCATTATTGAGGCTTACTAAATGGAAGCACCATGCTAGGGCATGGAATAGAGGAAAAGATACAAAAAAAATCCCTTCCCTAAGAAACTTGATTATCTGGCATGGTGCACATCATTGGTGCACAATAAATCAGTAAATGTCCTTAATAAATCTAGTCAAACGGAAAAGAGAAAGGTGTTGCAACAGGAAGGTTTAAGAGAAATAAGAGTTGACCACCACCTGATGGCAGACCTAAAACTCTATAAACCCTCTTCCTCCACGTGCACTCACACATACACACATCCCTCATAGCACACAACTGGCTAATTCCTAAACAAGAATACGAACGTAACATGTGCAGACACAAATAAGTTCAATTATTTGTTGTATAACATAAACTAGGGAGGTAACTAATTTGATGGCACATCACTTAGATAAGGAACTAGGGCTTCTTATTTCTTATTTTTTTTGGTGAGGAAGATTGGCCCTGAGCTAACATCTGTTGCCAGTCTTCTTCCGTTTTTGCTTGAGGAAGACTGTTGCTGAGCTAACATCTGTACCAAACTTCCTCTATTTTGTACGTGGATTGCCACCACAGCATGGCTGATGAGCAGTTTGTAGGTCCATGCCCGGGATCCAAACCCATGAACCCCAGGCCACCGAAGCGGAGCGTGCAAACTTAACTACTATGCCACCAGGCCAGGCCCAATTTTTGTTTTTTGGTGTTTTTTTTGTTTTTTGTGTGTTTTTTTTGGTGAGGAAGATTGGCCCTGAGCTAACATCTGTGCCAATCTTCCTCCACTTTGTATGTACAATGCCACCACAGCATGGCTTGATGAGCAGAGCATAGGTCCACACCTGGGATCCAAATCAGCAAACTACAGGCCGCTGAGGCAGAGCATGTGAACTTAACCACTATGCAACTGGGCCGGCCCCACTAGGCGTTCTTAAAAAAGTGGCTGATTCTAGGGCTGGGGCAGGGAAGGTACAAAATGAGCCTGGACCATCTTGTGGTGCCAGAAAGTTAAAAAGTGCTAAACAAACAAAAGAACGGGGCCACATCAAAAGGGTACAGGAGCAAACTGCAAGAGCTCCCAATGGCCAAAGCTTCAATAATTTGAGTGACAAATAACAACAGCACAAAGAATAAAATAAATATCCAGGAGTGCATACTATTACAAATAAATGATTGAATAAATGATTAAATAAATAAATAAATAAAAGAAGAAGGGATAAGTCTTCCTTACAAAAAAATCCCAATTAATAAATACAGAAGGAATGAAGAAAAAGAGAAAATCACCACTAGAAAACAATAAACCCTGCTACAGTTATGCTCTACCAATGAATGCTAAAATTAATAAGCAAAAGTTTAAGAAGAAACAGGGTACTTGTATGCCCTCAAAGTATCTCCCCAAAACATTTTATAATTTACAAAGCAATACATAGTACTTTATAGTGGAGAAACCTGGCAAATATCACCTTAACCAAAGAACCAAGGTTAATATTACCAACAATAAGACATACTGACATCAAGTACCCCTGATATGATATACAGAGAAGGGCACATCACCTCTGCATTATTCTTCCCCAAAATGCACTACCTCAACCTAATCATGAAAAAACATTAGACATATCCAAAGTAAGGAACATTCTACAAAATACCTGACAAGTCCTCTTCAAAAGTGTCAAGGTCATAAAAGACAAGAAAAGATTGAGGAACTGTTACAGACTGGAGGAGACTAAGGAGACATGACAATTAAATGCAATGTGGGATCCTAGATTGGATCCTGAATTGGATTCTGGAACATAAAAAGAAAAACTGATGAAATCCGAATTAAGTCTATAATTTACTTAGTAGTTAACAGTACTGTTTAGTCAAAAGTATTGCACCAACATTAATTTCTTAGTTTTCATAATTGTGTTATGGTTATATAACATGTTAACATAGAGGAAGTGATTGAAGGACATATGGGAACCCTTTGTACTATTTATGTGACTCTTCTATAAATCTAAAATTCTTTCAAATTAGAGTTAAAAAAAATCTTTGATGATAAAAACAGTACTACTTGCAATACTATGCTGTTTTTTAACCTTAGACTCACTATCAATTTACCTGAACTGTGGGTATTGTTTTCCAGTGAATGCTACGTTATCTCTGCTCTTACTTTATGTTATGTTAGTCTTATAATATAATAAAGCTCTAGCAAACTAATATTCTACCAAAAATATTCACCTAATTAAAAATACTTATTTCCTTTTCTGACATCCTAAAAAACTACTAGTAATCAGAATTTCATCTTTAATTATATAAGCCTCCACAAAGCTTTATCTTCAATAGAAGCCAACATTGTTATTGCTTACAGCATAAAAATAATAATTTAAATAAAATCCTTACCTTCCAACCACTGCCAGCCTCTCTATAATATGGGAAGTTATCACAAATCCACTGGTAAATCTCACTTAGAGTCATTTTCTTTTTGGGTGAGCTATTAATTGCAAATGTAATGAGGCTGGCATAACTGTATGGAGGTTTCCCATCTTTGTGCTGTTGGACTTCTTCCTGGTCCAGGGTTGTATTTGGGTCAAGGAGTGCACTCTTCTTGGAAATTCCTGTTCCATGTGCATTTTGAGTAGCATCAGATTTTTGGATGGCTGCTCTCATCGTGAGCTGTGGTAACCAGTCCATAGATGTTAAGCTGCTCTCCAGTTCAGACGTCATCCTGAAGGTAAATAGACTCCTTAGTCAATATCAAGGAAAGAACCCCTGCTTCTGAAAATATCCAATATTCACAAATCTAGGAGTTCCAAAGTGAGGGAAAGCCTGAGTTAAATCTGGAGGAAAAAGATTGAGTATGTTAATGATCAAACCAAATATTTAAGGGATCAACATTTCCAATCTTTTTTCTTAATTTTTTCCTCTCCAAAACACAACAAATTCGGTTTTAAAATGTTTAAAACACAGAACAATACATACACACAAAGTGATTCTGACGCCAATCTTACTAAAAAAGACCGTCTGTCACTTTAAATAGGGCAACAGGATCACTGTATCCTTTACTCCCCAACACCACAGGCCCTTTAAAAACTTAAGACTGTACATCTGGCCTTTCTTTTACAAAAATTTTAGGGGAGAATACAAACAAAAGAATCCCAAAAGTAAAGTGGAAGCAAGAGGTCAGAGAAGTAACTGAAAAACAGGCACAGGAATTTGCATGGAGGAAAGAAGGTAGAGTTGAGCAGGTGGGAGGTAGGAAGAGTAAAGCAGGGTAGACAAGAATAGCAAGGAGACAAGCTAGCTGGGGGAATTGACCGAAAAGAGGAATGCAAACTCAAGGACACTGATGAACAACAGAAAAGGAGGATAGGCAGTACCAGGCAGTTAAAAAAAAAAAAAAAAAAGTCAAGGAACAAGTTTAAGAAAACTAAAGATCTGGGAGTGTAGGATACAAGAGATTCAATCACATAAATGGACAGCAAGAAAAGCATTAAAAGCTTGAGGACAGGCTTACACAAACATCCAGTGATATGGATTCTGTAATGTATTTCTCTCCAAGGCTGAAAAATTCAGACCATTACCACCCAAAGAAAAAAAGAAAAACAAAATCTGCCAGGTTAACACGTATTCTGAAGAAGGGAGGAAGCTTCTCTAAGAATTGAAGATAAAAATATAAAAATAAAGCTTGACTCTTCATACTGGAATTGCTAGCTTTCAGCAGAGGGTACAAACCTTTCTATCCTGGGATCAAAGAAGCCTGACAATAAAGTAGAGAAGAATGAAAGACTTCTAAATGATATCAAAATAAAGCAAGAAAAAGAAAACAAAATAAGAAATTTAAAGTACCTCAGTCGAAAGAAAAAATTTGTGGTTAAGAAAATCCTATATAGGCCCCTCATCCCAAATGACTGCAGGCAAAAAGTAACCTGCAGTATGTGCTCAGGATCTGAATTTCTGGGAGGCAATAAAGAAATGACAAAGAAAACAGGCTCTTGAGACAGGCAGACCAGAGTTCAAGTACTGATTCTACCAGTTACTAGTTATGGGACTATGAAAATGTTAATTAATCTCTCTAACCTTCAGCTTTCTCATCTGTACAATGAAACAACAGTAGTACCTACACTTAAAATATTATTTTGGAATGAAATGTGATAACATACACACAGAAGAAACATTCAATAGTGTTAGTTAATAACATTACTCTAGGAGTATCTCGGGAGGGTACCAATGTACTATCAAGTAAACCAGATTAAGCAATAGCAATTATAAATCATGAGAGAGCCATGAGGATTCTGTCTGTATTGCCAGTGGAATCCTATTATCTTGTTTTTCATATATTTTAATCCACAGTTTTACCTTTCTCATTTTCTCAAATTCCATCCATCTCTATTGTATGCATTCCTCTGAAACCTGACCTTTAAATTCCTCTATACAGCACCTTCAGAGATCTAAAAAAACCTTACCATCCTGCTCTACAATCTCAGCCAGAAATGCTTGTTCCCAGCACAAAATAAATTATAGGAACTTGTGGAATAAGGAGACAAGATAATTTAGAGATCACAGAATATCAAAAGAGCGGGCAAAGTACCCTAGAGATTAGAGACCAATCTCTTCAATCTAAAGATGAAAATTCAGGTCTACTGAAGTTAAAGACCTGCCCAAATTCACATAGGTAGTTAACAGCAGAAATAAAATCAGAGCCCAGATCTCCTCATGCCCAACCCAGTAGTTTTTCTCCCATACCTCATCTGTAAAATGAGCATCATAATAGTACCTACCTCACTGATGTAAAGTATTTAAAACAGTGACCGGCAAATAGTAACTATTCAATAAATGTTAGCCGTTGGTGGTGGTGGTGATAATAATAGTAGCTGCTGTTATTACTATTCACATTTCATTCTATAAACATTGGCTATTATTATACCATATTGTCATCCTATTTGCCTCAACTAAGTCTCCACTGAGTAGCTTTATTTTGTTCAAATTCCCAAAGCAGCCAGTCACACATTTTCAAACTTAATATAAAAGCATGTTCCAAATTGGAATATAATTGATATTGCAGATGCCCCCTATTGAGAACCATCTTTAACTTCTGTTTTCCTTCCACCGGTGCCACTAATTAAGACTTTATGAGAGTCTCAGTAATATAAACATACAATAAGTAGGTACTTAATACGCATTATAGCATTTAGCAAGAATTTATAATTACACGTGTACATGGCTATGCTAGAGTGAGATGTTACACACACACACACACACACACACACACACACACAGAGGAAGTATAATAAAATTCCTGTCCTCCAGGAACCTGTAGTTCAATTAGAAAAGTGAAACACAAGAAAAAGCTGAAAAAGAGTGCAAGGCTGAGTTCTGGGTGCTCTAATGGTTCAGAAAAGAAAAGAAAGAACATGGACTGCAGCCTTGAGAGGTAGAGAAGAACAAACTTCAGCTAAGACTTGAAGAAAGTCAAGATCTAAACGGACTGGAAAGAAAATGGTCCCTAGTCATCAAAGGTATCATGAGTGAGAATTATTCCATTGTGTGCTTATTTTCATCAGTTCTGCTAGAGCAGATTTAAAGTACACCATAAAATATCTCTCAAGTTTAAGCTCTAAAAAAGTGGGGCTTCTCTTTTGTTTGCAATTTATTAAATTTTATATATTCTTAGTCATTGCAGTGGTTCTCCATTAAGCACTAAGAACAGAAAAAAACGGGGCCAGTGGTTAAGTGCGCACGCTCCGCTACTGGCGGCCCGGGTTCGGATCCCAGGCGCGCACCGACACATCGCTTCTCCAGCCACGCTGAGGCCACGTCCCACATACAGCAACTAGAAGGATGTGCAACTCTGACATACAACTATCTACTGGGGCTTTGGGGAAAAAAAAGGAAGAGGATTGGCAATAGATGTTAGCTCAGAGCCGGTCTTCCTCAGCAAAAAGAGGAGGATTAGCAGGGATGTTAGCTCAGGGCTGAACTTTTTCACAAAAAAAAAAAAGAACAGAAAAAAACGACCATTAGATGCAACTAGATTATCAGTAACTTGAGAAAGAAATCTCTTAGTGAAATGGTGATGACAGAAGTCTACTTGTATAAGAGAACAGATGGTGGTCAATTTAAAAACAGCATGGGAGGCTCTGAGGAATCTGGTTATGGAAATCCAGTTAAGAAATGTCAGGCCCTCATTACCTCACCTCATACCAAAAGCTTCTTAGCTGGCCTTCTAGACTCTGATTTCTCACCACTCCTCCCTGCTAACCACCTCCAGAGTCCACACAGACTCCAAGAGAAGTCTGTCAGCATTGTTTTCATGTCATTGTGCCCCAAAACTTTCAATGGTTCCCTTTCTCCTAAATACTAAATCTAAACTTCTCATTTTCAACTACTTTAGCTTTTATTTTTTATTAATCTTTCTCTAAATTCCTAGAGCAATTATAACCTCAGTTTGGCATTTACCATGCTGTTTTATATGAATAATTAACTGCATCATATGTCTAAGCTTTCCTCCTCCCTCTGCCCTCACCTCCTCACTGAGGATAGTGACCATATACTAGTACTTCAGATGCTACCTAACACCATGCCAGGTACACATTATCTGAAAAATAACATAGTATTTGGATAAGAAATAAGTCTTCCTTTCTAGAATGTCTTTTCCTTCTTACTCTGCCTAGCTAACTTCTACTTTTTCTTCAAGACTCAGACCAAACATCTCCCCCTCCAGAAAGCCTGGGCAATCCACTCCTCCCATCTTCCAAATCCTAAACTGAACTGGATCCTGCTCCCAGACTAGAATATAAATACCTCTATCACAGGACTTGTACAGAATTAACTAACTTTATCTATCTCTCTCCCATGAGACCATGAGCTCCTTGGAAGAAAGAACTTGCTTATTCTTTTCTGTCTCCCCAGTGCCTAGGAATATAGTAGGTAAAGGGTCAATAAATGGTGGTTAAATGATTGAAATAGTGACTATCCAATGAAGGTGTGGGTATGCTCCTCCACAAACAAGTGAGACCACACAAGTTTAAAAGCTAAAAGGAGGAGGTGAAAGAAAAGAAGCTTCAATACCATGAGGTAAAGATAATCACAGGATTGAAGTCCTTTATGAATTAGAAAAAAGTATGACTTAAAGAAGAGATTGACAAGCAGCACTACACAGGAACAGAGACAGTTCTACTGAAATAGCAAAGCAAAATGCGAAGATGGAAGCAAACATAAAAAGATAATGTTATTTGTGGGAGAAAGCAAGGCATGGAGAACTTATGTCTGAAGTTCTTAAATCTATGATGGTTATATGTCGCTTAAAAGAAGTCTCATGAGGAATTCTTCCTGCATAAAATGAAAAGGTAAAGAGCATCAAGATATAACAACTCAATACTAAGTCACAAGACGGCAGGAGGAGAGGGAGGTTCTTATCCTACTTTATAAAACACTGCTACTGATATGATCTCAAATATGCTTTTGCACATTGCTTGGCCTGCCTCTACAACTTCCCTAACTCCCATGGAGTAGCCAAAGCTTACTCAGAAAGTTTTCAAGTTTTCAACGGTATCAAAAAGGGAGGAAATGGGTAGAGATATTGTAGGCTCCCTAAATGGAGGTAAGAGGAAGACATCAAGGAAAATAAAATGACTAAGAATAATGAGGGTAATGATGTTGTGACCTAGATATTCCTGAATCCTCCCACTCCACTCCTGGCACTTGGCATTTCATCTTAAGACTTGG